TTCTGAGACGACAGGCAATAAAACACTTTCAGTATGCAAAAAAAACCACACATACAAAAAAAAAAAAATCAAGAAAGGAAAAAGAAAATAATTATCATAAATTTGCAAAGAAAATATATGCCTACAGCAGACTGCCTGTATGTCAGAATATGAAAATTCAGTTTTATTAACACAACATGAGAACTTTGTGAAACAGATATTTTTCAATGACTTGATGTTAGGTTTAACGAGTATTTTGTTTATAAAACATATGCATGAATGCTTTATCATTAAAACTTCCTTAGTTTACCATAATCCACTTGACTTTGTCTTCGGAAAACAGTAGCTTTTATAATGTAGTTGTACAGTAATACCAAGATTCAAACTACTACAGAAGATGGAAAAGAACTTTTCATAAATACAATGAAAATAATAGGAAATAATTGCATTAGCTGCTTTTGACTTTGAGAACAACATTCAATTCCTTTCCACCATCCTTCCTTCTACGCAGAAAATAAAAGGCTTCAACAGAGGAAGGAGATAAATTAAAATTGTCACCATTAGAGAAAAAGGAAACTGAAGAATGAGGAAGACAGAGCTATGCACTTTTAGATACAGTTGATAAATGACATTAATTTCACATCAAGACAGTCAGTAGTGTGATGAGACAACCAAGATAAGAGCCCAGATGCTACAGAAACTAACTGTAACAGTAAAGCTTTGTGCCACAGTTAATTACCAAAGACAATTGAAGAGGTTTTGTTCAGACCCACAACACTTATCAGGAGCTCTATTCCCTTACTATAGTGCTTCCCACAAAGATGTATTGCTTAGATAGTCCTAGTGTTATCACATTATTAACAGAACTACTGCCCTTCTGTATTTCCCTAATTTTTTGGAGGGGTGAATTATATTTGTGATAGTATACTTCTATGGTTAAAATGGGGAGTTCTACATTAAAAACATGTCCTGTTACATATACTAGTATCATCGTGTAGATGGGATGGAGACCTACAAGTTTATATCTCTGAAATATAAAAACTGAGATTTAAAAAAGTGAGTATTTGAGAGGACATTTTGGTTTACAAGATCAATGAAAAATAATTTTAAGGAATGAAAATAGATTTGATCTATAATTTAAAAATCTTTATTAGCTAGATCTTGAGCAAAGAAGAATGACTGATACAGATTGTTCTTCTGGTAGAGACCCAGAAGACACCATTAGAAATTAAGTTAATAGATAATTATATAAAATGGAGGAGGAAATAGAAATTACAAGCAAAGATGAGGTAGCAATTAACAGTTAGAGGGATAGCAACTGAAAGAACAAAATTCATAAAAGGAAAGTTGAATGGCAATATGGGACTAATGACCTATGAGAGAGGAAGAGAGAACAAAATAAAATGAGACCGAATAAATATGTTTCTCTCTTTATGCATTCTTGTTTCAAGAGGGATCACAGGAAAAAATAAGGTTTCGAATTCTCCACAGCTGGAAAAAAAAGCAGAAGACTGAAAAGGGAGAAAGGTACTACAAGTACCTACAAAGAACAAAATATTAGAACAAGACAGTTATGATGCAGGCACATAGATTATTTTTCAGAACGTTATGTATGGATGACATTTTTAAAAAGAAAATCAAGGAACTATTCCTATGTGTTAGTGTAGTGGCAGTGGTAGTGAGAGAAGGAACAAAGAGGCAGTAATAAAGTCAGGGAAAAACAAAGAACAGGGGAAAATTTTTACATCCTTTTTTTCCGGGTTCGAGACAGGATGAAACCAATTTTTCTTTTACTGACTTTTTTTTCTTTAAAGAGCTCTCTTTAAACTAGTAACAAGTTTTCCAGCTAGTGGACTGATAATGCTGGAATGTTTGTGTTACTGCTGAGACATCAACGTCACTTTGCTCTACTTGTTGAATCTGCAGCCTCAGAGGCTACCAAAGCAGAATAGTCGGGTCTGCAGCCCTCCCACAGGGAGAAGTGGACTAGATGGACAGCAAAACTGACCAAAATATTCCATCCCATATATCTACGCTAGCTCAGTGTAAGGTCAGAGATCACAGAAGACAAGTTCCTTCCTGCTTCTTCTTTCCTTCTCTTCCATCCATGGCCTCCACATGGGGAGGACCCCATCTATCCATCACCATTGATCCCCAGGCTCATGCATTCCTGACCCTTGTAACTCTCCCCTCAGTTCCTGTCTGCTCTGCCACTCTCTCCAGCAGTGCTCCGGGACATTTTGGAAGTGCTCACAGCTCAGGAGATGCTGTGGGGAGTTGCTGAGGGTGGGAAGAGGCAATAGGGTTTTGTACTTTCTTGAACATAAGTGTATATAATTGTACATATTTTATTTTATCATTAGTATTTAATTAAACTGTCTAGTTTAGTTTTCAATCCAGACAGTCTCTCTCCCTTGCTATCTCTCTCCTCTACCTGGGTGGGAGAGGGAGGGGATTGAGAGCATTATTGTTGCTGGTTCCATTGCCAATCCTGAGCCAAACCATTACACCTTTAAAAACATGATATTTGGTAAACTCAAGAGTCCATTTAGTACAATATCTGATTTTGCATGATAGACAGGAAGGAATACTTATTCTCTACTTCATAGAAGACTAATTACATGTAGGTTGATGAAGAAGCCAGTGGTGTAAAAACCAGTCTCTGCTTTCAAACTGTTACAGCTCTGAACAACATGGTTCAGGAATAAGATTCAACACATTCTGGTCTTTCCAGGACTGATATGATTACTACATGTTTGCGAATATTTCACATGTCACACTTTATTTGTATATACAAGAAAAGAACCGTAGACGTGCTTGGAATGCACTGTTTTTACTATGTGTATCTGTAATGGAAGCTATGGTTTTACCCTGGTTAGTCTTTCCACACAAACTATCTCTTTGCATACTGTGAACCTGTATGCAAATCAAATGGTATGCAGATTTCCACAAACACACTAAGCTTCCCTCACTGCACAACCACCTATGTCTGAACTCAGCGTAATAATGTCAGGTGGTACCATAGATGAACTGAATGCAGATTACCAGTTTAAAATTAGTTTCATCTACTTACAGTAGGAAAGTTGTAAAAGGCACTCTCCCACGGGAAATAATTATATTAGAAAATATAATAGCTAACTTTCAAGTATGGAACAAAACACTTCTATTATTTTCTGGTCTATTCATATTAGCTATCATTACCATTCAGAGTCATCAAATTATGACAAATCATTTAGATTCAATAACAATAGAAATTAATTTTATATGTATGACCAATATAGTTATGAAAGTTGAGTAACTACATGAATGTTAATATTTTTTTCCCTTTTTATTTTTAAAATTAGACTCTGCAGAAGTCTTTCACCTGCTTATTAGACAAATAGCAGGGACTGGGGAACAAATTATCTCCTTTTTCTTGGGAAAGTTAGACATCTTGAACTTGAAGGTCATTGTTTAAATGGAGTGTACAGGGATTTGGGTGGAAAGGGTAAAGTGTACATTCAGGAGGTAACAATCTGTACCATCCATTCAGTAATAAAAGACAGCAAATATATTTCACAAATATCAATCATGACAATTAAACTTTCTTAAGAAAATATATCTAGCACAAAAGTAGTATTTCCATCTGTCTCTCCTAGACTAGTTATAAAGCTTTGATGTTGTGATATTAGAGGAAAGTTACAAACTAATTTCCACAGAAGCAATACATAAGAAAAACTGATTGCATAATATAGCACCTCAAAGAACATCTGAACTGCATTTCTAAGAGGGAAAAACAAAGATCAGTATTTTTTTGATCTTCAGTTTGCTTTATAAGACATAAAAATAAATAAACATATTAAACCATGGTCTAAAATAATATAGACAACTACCCTTTGTATTTTTTTAATTCTGTGAATGGTGTAGACTACTCATAGATATGCATATGCATACTCATAGACATACAAAAAATGTCATAAAGCGTCTAGCTGAACAAAGATACAGGAATACCTTTTGTTTCTAGAGTGTACAGTACCATTTGCCCAGGAATTCACCTGCTTATTAGACAAATAGCAGGGACTGGGGAACAAATTATCTCCTTTTTCTTGGGAAAGTTAGACATCTTGAACTTGAAGGTCATTGTTTAAATGGAGTGTACAGGGATTTGGGTGGAAAGGGTAAAGTGTACGTTCAGGAGGTAACAATCTGTACCATCCATTCAGTAATAAAAGACAGCAAATATATTTCACAAATATCAATCATGACAATTAAACTTTCTTAAGAAAATATATCTAGCACAAAAGTAGTATTTCCATCTGTCTCTCCTAGACTAGTTATAAAGCTTTGATGTTGTGATATTAGAGGAAAGTTACAAACTAATTTCCACAGAAGCAATACATAAGAAAAACTGATTGCATAATATAGCACCTCAAAGAACATCTGAACTGCATTTCTAAGAGGGAAAAACAAAGATCAGTATTTTTTTGATCTTCAGTTTGCTTTATAAGACATAAAAATAAATAAACATATTAAACCATGGTCTAAAATAATATAGACAACTACCCTTTGTATTTTTTTAATTCTGTGAATGGTGTAGACTACTCATAGATATGCATATGCATACTCATAGACATACAAAAAATGTCATAAAGCGTCTAGCTGAACAAAGATACAGGAATACCTTTTGTTTCTAGAGTGTACAGTACCATTTGCCTAGGAATGCCTCTTAAAGCACTCAAGAATAAGAGTGACTTTCCTCTACTGTCAGTGCATGCATGCACTGTTTTCTTAATATGAATGTTCTAAGTAACATACAAGGTTGCATTTGATGTCTTTTCATCTCTTCTCAAATTTATAATCTTTTATATAAAATCAATGATACAATAATGTGTCATAAGTTTGTCAAACAGTATGTGGCATTTTCATTTGCTAAAAGATCGTTGAATAGAACAATTTGTTTTCCTTACCCATTTCAGACATCTCTGGCACAGTAACAATGTATGGTCCATCTGTAAATTTTGGTGCATTGTCGTTGATATCCTGTACTTTGATAATAAATTCAGATTCAGGTTCGAGTGGCTTGTTTGTCCGTCTATCAATAGCTTGGGCATGAAGCACATAGTGTGTCTTCTGCTCTCGATCTAGGCTTTTGGTTGAATGGATGTCTCCAGTTGTGTCATCAATAATAAATATAGTACCTGCCCCTTCTCCAGTAAGAATATATTTGACTGATCCATCACCTTTGTCGGAATTGGAGTGCAGCTGCAGAATATACACACATAAAATAAAATGACATATTAAATTTCATAAAAGTTATTGCACATAAGATACAAAAAAAATATACCATTATTTTAGCACGATTCTGCTTAGTTTTTAACCTGCCCACCTCCTGTCATAATTCCTCATATGCTATCTCTGGCAAATCAATGATTTTATTAAGAATCATTTCCACTCCAGCATAGCTAATTTTCTAAGCAAGGATTTCTTTGGTTCTACGTCCATTTTAGAAAACTTCCAAGTAAAAAATATTCTAGTAACCACGTGGGTTTTATTATTTGTTTTGGTTGGTTTTAGTCCTTCTAGTAGTTATCTTACAGCAGTTATTGCTAGAAACTGCCTTAAACACTAAGCCAAAGTAGTCACACTGAAGATTAAGTTTGCTACAATTACTATAGTTCAATTCCACTACCTATATTATCTTCTGTGACCTCAAGGAGAGCATCATATACTGAAAAAGAAAACTGCATAGTATGGCAATGACAGATGTCTGTGCAGAATTATTCTGTCCTCCAAGAACACATATTTTGTCTGGGTTTTGTTTGCTAGTTTTTAATTAGGAAGTCACTTAATTTACTTGTATTGAAACTCTTTACAATGAAGAAATTAACTTTGATAAATACTTCCAGCATTTTCATTGTTCTTAACACACCCTTCATGCTATGAAACATACATCATGTGTATTATACCCCTCTTTCAGTAGAATAAAGCTTATAATTTATTGGGGGGGAAGTCACTATGTACCCTGGGTGTATTAAGAGCTGTCATGCAACAGCTATCCATTCAGTCTCAGTGCTTCTAAGTTGACTTTAAAGAATTATCTGTTTATATTAAAAATTAACGTGTTCTCTAAGGACACAAGATTTTTTGACAGATTGAGAGGCTTTGTGGTTTGTTTTTTTCTAAAGTGACTTTGAGAACAGAATGTATTTATTGAGGTGCACAATAAGAACAAAGTGATAATGCAGAAATTAACAGCTTCAGGTATTGTGAAGTTATACTGTGATGTTAAGTTTCCCTTAAACTTTCTAATTTTAAGAACTCATTCATTCTTATCCTATTTCCCTCACTATCTCTCAGTATCTGCAATGTGGTGTTATTAAGTTTCTATATAGAATCTGAGCAAAGTAGAATAAAAATGCCAGATATCATTTTTAATTAATGGAACACATGGTGTCAGCTTCCAGACTACTTTCAATTTTCAGTTCAGAAATCATTTAGGGTTGGATAGAAAGAAAGACTTTTGGAAGTTCAAATAATCTTTCTGACTTAAATCATAAAATATAGATGTGCTGCTGTTTTCTCACTTTCTCCTTGGGTTTTTTTGGGGTTTTTTTTGTTTTTGTTTTTTTTTAGCTAGGCCTTTGTCTTGCCTTTAAAATTATCTAGCTTTCTATTTGTTCAAGGAGTAAGCATATAGGGCTTGACGATCTTTTTAATCTTGTGAATTAAATCTATGAAATTCCGGTGTTGCACCTAATGTATCTTGTCCTATAGGGGGGTTTGTTAGATGAAAGTATAATAAAATTAAGACTGTCAGCTCATATAAACTTCAGCCAAACTTCAGTCAGTGCACCATATATATATATCTGAGTCACAAAGAGGTCTGACTGAGTAACCAAAACAAAACTGGGTCACTATTGTGGACTTATTTTCACAGTATCATTCTGGTTGGAAAAGACCTTCAAGATCGAGTATAACCACTCCCCTAACTCTGCAGCATCCACCACTAAAGCCTATCCTCTGGTACCACATCTGTCTGTTTATATGTCTCCAGGGATGGTGGCTCAACCACCTCCTTGGACAACCTGGATCACCAAGGCCAACTAGTGCCCCAGAACAAGAAAACCCCAAAGTTCACACCATGTCCCTGAGGGCATTGTCCAAGTGTTTCTTGAATATTGCCAGGCTCGGTGCCATTACTGCTTATCTGGGGAGGCTATACCTGTGCTCCACCATCCTCTGGGTGAAGAATAAAAAGGGTCTATTTGTTTGGCTTTGCCTTTATAGGACAGCAGGACAGTCTTACACCTTTCCTTTAGAGTAGTGATGAGAAAAATTCTGGTTACATCTCTTCTTATCATCAGACTAATACTGTATTCTATTAACAAAGGAATAATTCACTCAATGTAAATGCTAGGAATCCAAACTTCCTATACAAAATGTTCTTTAAAGTGATTTATTCTTAAAAAAACATGAATAGCAGTTATTCCAATATTCTAACCCTGGTTTGCTGGCATTAAAAATTTTCAGAAATAATCAGAATTGTTTTTCTCTTGCTGAAGGTTCTTTTTTTGATAAAATGATTCCTAAGTGTTAGTGTTTGCAAATGTTAACCTTTGCCTCAGAAAGACTGTCTCTGATTTATGGAAAAAAAAAAACAAACAAAAAAACTGACAAGAAACCTAGGAGAAAATTTGTATTCCCAGGATAATGACAAATTTACTGAGTTTACAAGCCTATAAGGAACACAAAACTACCCAAAGCTGAAAAAAAAACCAAACAAAAAACAAACAGAATAATCTTTATCCTCATTCTCTCCTTTTAACTCTGTATCGGTATATGTAAAAGCATATTCAGATACACTGCATAGAGATGCCAGCAAAAATCACTGTATTCATAACTGGAATTATGAAATAAGGTTCCAATTAAGAAATGAGTTACATAGAAAGGTAAGAGATCAACAGAAAAAGGAACAGCTGTAGAACTTAAGAAGTAAGCTTTCTTCTAAAAATCCAAATATCAACATAGACATGATGTTGCAATATTATACTGCAGAAAGACACATTCAGAAATTCACCGTGATAGCATGAAATGCATGGAACATTTGGAAAATTAAGAACATTAGATATTTTATGTTGTACAGAAAAAATACTTGTAATCAGTGAAGAAAATCCAGCTACTTTTTGAATCAGAAAGCTTGTATGTCTAACAAGTAATATAAGTTAGGTAACACAAAATATTCTTAGTTGATTGCATGGCAAACCAATTATATGTTATTCCTGCTAAACATCATGTTACTCCACAAACTCCAGTTGAAAAATGCAGCATAGAATGCCATTACATGAAACTCATCTGGGTATTAATAAATATTGAAAGCCTTCAGTTTGCATCTGGCCCTTTACCCTGCACTTGTAAGGAAGCAACTGAAAACAAAAGAAAGCTAAGAGAAGTTCCTGCTTCCCTACTTCCTGATATTTCTTATATTGTTTGAAATATAACACTTACATTTATGCCTTTTAATTTCTAATGCTACATTTTAAATTCACATAGTGAATACTGCATAACAAAAGGATCCTTCCTTTTTCAGTTACTTCATATTCCATTTTTTTTCTGCAAAGTAAATATGAAATAACTGATTATCTTCTTTAATACTTCTCTCTCAGTATAAATTGGCCCAAGGAGAAAAATATCTAGGATTCTCTTAAACGCTTACTTGTCATATGTGTTGTGCTGAGGAGAGACTCAGGGAGTCCCTGCTTTAAGACTATACCTACTACATGAATTCATGCCACTGAGCATGCCTCACTTCTTTCTTTTCCCTGCTTACTATGAAATCACCTACACAACAGGTGGTTGTTGTGGTTTGGGCCTAACCAACAACAAGGAGTCAGCCACATGGTCATCCACTTCCCGCCTGCGCCCTCCCCAAACACAAATACAAACACATACACCCTGTGGGATGGGGAGGACAAAGGCCAACTAGAAGCTCGTGAGTTGAGACAAAGGACAAGGAGGGTTTCATTCACCATTTATGGTCACGGGCAAAACAGATTCAACTTAGGGAAGAAAAATACCAGTTTAATTTATCACTAACCAGATGCAAACAGAACAAAGCAAAAAGAAAACACCTAGAGACCATATGTTACCCCACCCCTCCTTCCTTTCCGGGTCCAAATCACTTTGTTCCCGGTTTCTCTCCCTCCTTCCCCCCAGCGGCACAGGGGGACAGGGGATGGGGTTTGGAGTAAGTTCACAGGCTGGTTGTTCCAGCTGCTCCTTCCACCTCAGGGAGAAGGATTCCTTACAGTCCTTCCCTGTTCCCCCATGGTGTCCCTCCCATGGCAGAGAGTCCTTCACAAACCTCTCATTCATGAATCCTTCCCACGAGGTCTGGAGCTGCTCCAGTGTGGGCTTCCCACAGAGTCATGAGCTGCTTTGGGAACAGTCACCTCCCTTGGAGTGGGGTCCTCCACAGCTGCAGATCCAAGTCTATGGACTGAAGGTCCGTATATGTGCCCCGCTAGGTGCCTTCAGGGGATGCTCCCCTCTGCTCCTCCATGAGTGCAGGGGACAGCCTGCCATCCTGCCATCTCGCCATCTTCTTCTCTGGCACCTCTTTCCCCCTTCTTCCACACCAGCTTCGGGATCTCTACTTCCACACTGCTCTTACCTCTCCAGCTCAGCTCTTATCTTTCCGTTCTGCTCCCAGGTCTTGTATCAGTTCTTTCATATGTTAATTGTAGAGGCACATCTATTGTCTCTCTAATGGCTCCCTGGCCATTAGAGCTGGGGGAGCTTTGAGTAACTTCTTACAGGAGCCACCCCTGGGGCAGCTCCCCTGCTACCAAAACCATGCCAGAACCAAACCAGCACACAGGTTTCTTGCATGAAAGCATTTCTAATCAGAGTAAAAACAATTCACTGCTTAGTTTAAAAATGCACGGTTTGGGAGATGGTACTTCTGCAGCTATGTCTAACTATTTACAAAAGATAGCAAGAGAGCAAAATCTAGCTGGACAACAGTGCACTCTCTCTGTTTGGGACTACTGTAATTATTTCACTTTCAGATTGATTTGACAGGGCAGGGGTGGGTGGGGGCATTGATGCTGCTAAGCAATGCAGAATCAAGCCAACCATGTTGTAGTCATTAGTTCAAATCTAATTTGTGTGGTCTGGTGAAGCCATCTTCATTCAGACCCTTAGAAAGGGTGTGGTCATTTCATTTCAATGAGATACCATCACCTCTGCCAATTACTACTGCA